TGAATTGGTGTCAAATAATAATATACATATAAGCGGGGGTCCTATCGCTTTTGCCGCATCCCGCATTTCAATCGCCACTCTTCTTTTTTTTCTTATGGCTTCTTATGGCTCTATCTTCCATTTTGCTAATCCACTAGGTTATCGGTCTTTCCAGTTTCCGGTTGTTTCCTTGGCAATGTTGGAATGCTGTTTTAAGGAGAGTTGATTAAACCAGAGTAGGGAATTAAGAATCTAAACAGTTTTCTGACCTTGTTGAATTTTATGTTTTATGTCGCTTTCTGTTGATCCTTTGTTATAGATTATACTTCCCAAATATTTGTACTCTTCATTTTTCTGGAATTGTCTTATGTCCAGATCCGGTTCTTCGCCCTCATCGCCTATTCGCATATACGTAATCTGTTTTTGTCCTCTTCATCTTCATACCCCATTTTTCATATTAGTCATGCAAATTTCTTACCACAAATAATAATACAGCTCTAAAATTGTACTTGAAAAATGTTACTGATATTTTTTCTAAATAAAAAATAATTTTCCTACTAAGTCTTATTTTTAGTACTACGGCGACCTGATTAATGTTAAGGCCGCCATAAAGCAGGCTCAGTTGCATTCCGCTTATGCTCCAGTTTATTTATTTCAATTTTCATTTTACGGAACTACAGCTCAGGATCACTACTACGTTGCAGGTGAAGTAACTAAATACTTAGTATTAATTTCTGTAATATCTTTATTCCCAATTCTTTTAGGCCGTGGCAAAGTAGGACATTTGGATGACGTATCGTACGTATTCAATATGACCTCATTTCCATTGGTCACGGAGGAGGATTACCTTTGCAGTAGAAGGGTTAGCAAACTTTGGACAAATTTTGCCAAAACACTGTACGTATTTCTTTGGTTTCTCAACCTTAAGTAAATACATTTGATCTATTACCTGAAGCTGAAGGAATGAGATAAATATAATTGGCTTTTCAAGGCGGTGATTTTTGTTGCAGGAATCCAACTCCCGAAAAGGATCATTTGCTACAAAATGTTACTTGGACCCAAGTCAGGCCTGATGACATCCGGTATTTAGATATTGATGAAACGCTGGAAGTAAAATATAATCGGAAAGTGAAGGAGTACTCTACCTGGAACTATATTTACGATACATATGCGCAGAAACCAATAATAACTTTCTGAGTACTTTTTATAATAAATATAATAAATATATAAGAATCACAGAAAGTTATTCAACTTTTGTAGGTTAATGGATACAGATCATATATCCGATAACTCTTTGGTCTTTCGTATTTCAGACACATAAATTGAACCCAGTGACAAAAAAAGAAAACAATTCTTTGCTGAACATACCAATTCAAATCCTGATTTACGTGGATGGCGTAATATTCTTAATACTTTTAAATTTTTGGAGTGTGCATGAAGTAATATTAAAAAAGTCAAAACTGCATTGGTTAATTTTCTTGATTAAGTCAATAATTCAAATTAAAACTAAAGATCGAAATGAATTTAAAAAACAACAAAACTGGAACAACTACAAGCACATTGAAAAATAAACAAATATTGGTATAAATAAAGAAAACACTATTTTACTTATAGCATAAATAATAATTTCAATATCTCTAAGATTTTATATGCTCATTTTTTGTGTGCAGTCAATAAAGAAATGAAATAAATTTGGGTATAATATTATCAAGTCGTCATATAATTCTTTTTCTTCCAACAAATATTATTAATTCAATTTCCTTCATTGCAGTGTTTCCTAAAAATATTAATTCGTAATTCGGATGCCTGAAATAACACATCCTGATAGTTATAATGAACTGAGGCATATTAATATTCCTTTCAAAGATTATCAAAAAAAATATGAATTGCCAATTGCGGGAGCATTTGGGTAGGTTAAATGTTGATAGTTGTACAACTGCGCTGCTACCTATAACCGATGACATAATTAGAACTGTTGATGTTGTTCAGGTTTTTCTTTCCTTCATTTCTCATGAAACAGCAACTGCCCAACATAAGCTAATTCAAGATTTAAAACTTCTGGATAAATTCTCCACTAGTTTTTACTTGTAAATGCAACTAAATCATCGAATATGATATTTGACAAGAACAAGGAGAACATTGAACCTGGATTAAATTTGCATTTGGGGATGACACAAAAACATGTTACGTGCATACAAAAAAGTGCGGGAATCTAAAATTTTTATTTACAAGTCGTAAGTTAATTTCAAAAAAGTTAGAACTTGGTGTGATTCGTGAGTCCTCCGGAGTGTTATGATATTTTGCTGTTGTAATTGAATGCAGACTCTGCATTATTGTTTCATAGTTTTACATACGAGTATAACCAGTGCCACCGTATCTAAAACTGATGTACGCCATCTAAATGTTAATGTCTCACTTTGCCATATACCTCACTTTTTGAAAGATTATTTTCATATTACGTATGTACAATATGCAACAATGTTCCTAACAATAGCCAAACTCCAAATGTAGGCAAATTCCTTCAAAAGAAGTATACATTATACCTGGTGTGCATTCGCAGGCTTTTACTTACCTGTGCTCTTACTTATGATGTTTCTCCTTACTCCTTATCCTTTAAACATAATCTATACTTTTATGTTATAAGTTTTGCACGCTAATTCTGTTGTTTTACCAAAAATTGTTTGATGTAATTAAAAAATATATATATCTCAATATTTTCAATTTGTGGACAACTTTTCCTTCTACTGTTGTAGGTATTTTAAGGGATGTACTTGGATCAAATTTATTTTGCTTTTAGCCCCCTTTTGATAGATATGTTAGGTATTATTTGGATTCGTGTAAGTGATATGTAACAATATATTTTATTTTTCTGCGAATAGGGCTTAATATTAAGATATGCTGCAGTAACTTACTTCTCAAGTACTACAGAGTTGAAGTGGTGTCCAATTATTTTATTGAAGCTTTCGTTTAATTTTGTTACAATAATTGAACTGGCTGAGACATTATTGCATGTTAAAACCGTTTCATGGTTACAAGCATATACCACGAGTTTACTCTTAACAAGCTTAGCTATAAGTACGTACTTGATTAAATACAAATAATAAAAAATATTTAACAATAGATATCATCGTGTAAGATTACGAAATTTTTGGACTCAAATTCTTTGTATCTAATCTACATTTATACTCGCCCTTCGGAAGCAATAACTGGATCATTTTATCGTGATCTAGGCATATTTTGAGAAAATACTTCCATAAAAATGTCGCATCCAAACTTATTGTCAACGGCCATGTTGGTTGTTGCACGCCGCGAGGTCCTTGGTTTAAAGCGAGATTTTAAATAACCGGATTAGTAGGTACTGGTATTAAAGGGGTTCGCCCTCGCGGGGGTCCAAGCACTTAGGCCACCAGGATAAGTAGCTATATACTATATAATATTATATGGTAAAGATAATGGCAAAAATAATACTCCCAATTTAAGCTAACTTTTGTCTATTATTACTTGTGTTAACATTCATGAAATTTTTTTTGATATAGTATGTTATAATGAAATTATTTCTAAAAGCCGTGTTATTTTAATAAATTTGAAAATGCTGACTGTAAACAATAAAAAAACTTAATACTGTCAAATTTTGGTGTATGCTCATATTGCTACATATATAGAATTGTAGTGCCTAGATAAAAATATCGTTGAAATATTAGTAGCTATGTGTGAATTGACAAATATTTTAGCCAAGTTTATTCAGCTGGTGTGGAGATCTTTGAAAACAAGAAAAGAGTGGCTATAGTTATTTGGCGAAAGCTTGTAGATTGACACCTATCAATTAGCCTTTTCGAAGTAGTCATATTTCTAAGGAACAGTAAGTTTAGAACGAGATGAAACTTGACTGAAATCATTAGTTAGCTTATTGCACATACGAAATGGGTAATTACATTTTTTTTTAGTGGTACCGAGTTTTGTAAACTAAAAAAAAAAATTATCATTCACCCTCCAATAACTCCGAAAATATTCAACATATCCGAATGATTTTGTGTTTGATTTTAAGATCATACATAAGCGATGATAACTGAGGCGATATAATTTTCATAATTTATTTTCCATTTTTTTTCGTAACCTCAAGCGAAAAACTTTTTTATTTGCAAAATGTTCATACTACATGCTGCGAATGAAATGGGGTAAAATACATGAGCAAGTTTTCATATTTCTGCAATATTTCAACAGTCAACGTGGATTGAGCTGTGTAATACGGAATCAGGGACCATCCAATCTGCCAATTCTCAATTTCTTTCGGCAGGAACCTATTGAAAAACCATTCAATAAACTTGTACGAACTTTAAACAAGTTTAAAGTAGTACAAATAAGAAACTAAAAATACGAACTGTACCAATATTATTATAGAAAATTTCCATCACTTTCAACAATAGTGGTAGTAGAATAGATAGTAGTAGTGGTATCAATATATTATCTGTTGCAAATACAAAAATAATCTTTAAGTTCAATTCTCGGCTTATTAAATTAACTTAATCTAAACAATTACCAATACATTTGGTGTCCTGGGATGTTGTGAAACGGTTTTCACCAGTGCACCCAGTTTGCTTTACAACATTAACTAATTAATATATACTTTTGAAAAACCATTTAAACAGTCCTATGTAACTACAAACAAGCATTTAGATTTTGCATATAATGTGACTTTGTCAACAAAACTTTAAGGAAACATTAGGAAACTAAATCACAAATGAGTTACAACTAGTGTTTAAAGAGAAAACATTTTATTATTGATCGTTTCAACAAAAACTGATGAAGTATGAGTTACGAAATGTTGAATTGGACACTATATGCATATCATTCTGAACTGAAATTAATTTTTGCAATGCAAGTATGTTAGTTTTCGCTCAGCCCAATATTTTATTTTTTTACGCCATTACAAAGATAAATAACAAAGTACGTGTCATTTGCGTTGTTCAATTGGCAATATATAAATGAAGTAATTGATAAGCAAATTCTCATTCACAAGTACATCGCGGTAGATATTACAACCGCGCCAGGCCAAACATGATTTTGCCCAATATGCCGGTTTTGTGTTGCTTGCTTTTGGGTTTGGCATCAGTTGCTGTAAGTATTTGATAGAAAAGTCAGCAAGACGAAAATAGAAAACGGCCAACATTTTACACCTGAACGTTTTCTTATTCATCAAGAATATGAATTTGAATTAATTCGATAGATAGATAGATAGATAGAGATAATGTTATTTTTGATATAATATACAACAAAAGTTATAGTTATTATAAAATAGTCAACACACATAACGGAAGAAAAAAATTAATTGATTTTTTCTCCTTCAGCTTTTCTACCTTAAAAAATATTTTACTTATCAACTTATAATTTTACAGATAGATAAAGAGCATTTACCTTGTCTTAAAAAAATTATCGAAAAAGTAACTATATTGATATACCTACAACAGTCTGCAGCAGATAATCCGTGCAATTTCGTAAATATTTTTTTTTCTACTCCCGTTTGTAAAATACCTAATTGCACACCGATGTAGCGTGCGGGAAGCGTCACTTTACCACGTGAGTTTCGTTTCCCACGGATCCGAGCCCCTTCGGACATTTCCGAGATTTTACCGCACGGGTTTGGGAGCGATCGGATGTCTTCGGAGATATTTCCCACTCTTTGAATTTTGACGTCAATTCTGACGCTCATGTCAGTGAATGTATTCGTGTTGTTTTTGCGAAAATGTACCCAAAAACTAACGGTTGTAGAAAAAGTATAGTATGTAACAAGTTAAGGTTTTCGAACGAAGGATCTCGTTTTTAAAAAACACCTTTTTGTTTTACAAACAGAACTACGAGGTTTTATTTAACCCGTTACAAGGAGAACTAAACGCAAGGTACAAAGTGGTCATATATATATAGTTTTTATGCAAGCGTCGCGTCGCAGATACTGGGAATACTGAAGCTAGCATTTCATCAGCATATTCTGTCACATAATTAACACGTTCGGTAAACTTTTTAAGTCGCTCGTTTATTAAACACTCGTGAGTCAAATGTCCAAAAGTGGAAAACAACAGGGACGAAGGGTTGTTTTCGGAAGACTGGTCGTTCTTGGTTTTCTTGGAATCTTGCAGCAAATGGCTCTTGTAGATTTTCCATGCTATAAATATTAACAAGATTAAAATAAACATCATTCCTGTTGAAGTGGCGAGACTCCAAGTGACTGGATGAATTTCATAACCAATGTCGGGGATCGATGATTTCGCAGCTTCTCGTAGTTTTTTGATCATATTGAGATCAATCGATTGTAGTTGGAGTGGCTGGTACTTCACATCGTGATGTTCCATATTTTCAATTTTAATGGGTGGCAGTGAGAATGGGTTTGCTTTAAAAATTTCTTCTTTATTCCAAAGCTCAGTATTTTGGGTACTTATACCGCAATTATATGGAACATTGATTAGGCAGGCTTCTTCAATAAAAGCTATTTCTTTGTTTCGACAATTCATTTGTAATTTAAGTTTCTGTTCCGATGGTATTATCAAAACAAATCTACTAGTGATTGGTCGTATTATATACGTTGAAACATTTACATTGACTACGTGGCAATTTTTGTTTTCGGCATATTTAATGAGGGTTGTCACACAATCACCGATGAGCTGGGTAAGTTGATTTTCGCAAACGTAGGTGTCTTCAATGATTGGGCAGATTGATTCTTGATATTGTTGCATGTCAGTGCCCAATATTAGGTAGGGTAAATTAGGTATAATTAAGGAGTGATTCACAGGTACTGGGAACAGGTGGAATATTTCAAAAATATCTTTAAGAAAAATCGGAATATGGACGGCAAAAATTATTTTATCTTTTGTAAATTTAACTTGTAAGTTTGCTAACTGATAATAATTATTTTGATTTTCAAAAATTAGAATTTGATTATCACCATAGAGAACAGTCAATTTAAAAATTATTTGTTCTAATTCAGCCGCCGATATTACTACAGGGTGTAATGTGCTTAATTTCGCAAATGTAATGGCATTTTCTAAATTATCCAAAAAAGTTATAAAACTTTGGCAATTTAGAATTATTTGCATTAGTGTATTTTGAGCTTTAATGAAAGTAGTTATGTCAGTAATAGTTTTATTTGAATTATATTCAAAAATGTCTATATGTTTTTTAATAGCTTCTTGATTTTTCTGTAGAAGTGTTATAGTATCATTATAGTTGTCAATCAGCTGTTGAATCAACGAGGTTTGCTTTTTTAGTTGGATGTCAGATGAATGTTTACTACGCACAAGTTCTGTGATAATTTTATCATATTTTTGTCCATCCTCTGAATCGAGAGTGCCAAAAAGCCATTTCGATAATTTACCTACAACATTTATTAAACCTCTTTTTGTATGGTTATTAGGTTTTATGTTACCAAGTTTAAATTTTACTTGTGTAATTAAATATCGAACATTATTAAGTAAATTATTTCCATTAATATAGTGGACATTCTGATAATTATGTTTATTTGTATAGTTTAATGATTTTGAGGTTACAGCGTAAGCGTATTCTAAATTACGTAATTGATTAAAAAATTGAGATGTTTCTACAAAATGCAAAAATGTATGTTGATGTGGAATTATTCGAGCATTTCCTAAGCGGAAGGGGAGAAGTGGTGTTTTAATTGGGATAACTTCAATATCATTATTCGCTATCACTAATAACAGCGTAGCTGCAAGGAGGAACAGCGTTGTCCGGTTCATTAACCTGCGAAGAAGAAAAAGCTTTAGGTTTTTGGATCTGAGATTTATGAATTATTTTTTTATTTTTTGTGATAATTTTATTCCCAATATCTTGATCTATAATAACAGGTTTTCTTCGGGGTTTGTCCTTACTACGTTTTGCTGTTTTGTCAGTAACATAAACCTTTGTATTTTGTTTCATTTCAGGTGGATTTTCTCGTTTTTCGTTTTGTTTTTCATTTAAACGTATTTTTTTTTCTAACGATGTTTCGTAGATTTGTCGATAGATAGTTTTTAGTCTTTCACGTCTATCTGCGATATAATTATTTACAATGATTTCATCCGTTAAATCAAAGGGATCTAAACCGTTTACTTTTCCATTAATAACGTCAAAAGGTTTTTGTTTTGTTACGCTATGCATTGATGAATTGTAACCTATAATTGCGTATTTTATTGAATTTTTAGGGGCTTCTTTTGGTTCTTTTAATTTTAGTACCCTATATAGTTCAACAAGAGTAGAGTGAAATCTCTCTATTGGACTATTACTATTAGAATTGCCAGGAGTTGTAAAATGAATTGCAATTTTATGCAATTTACAGAAATCTAAAAGCAAAGACGTTTTAAATTCCGTACCATTATCACACGTTATTTGTTGAGGTAGGCCGTGATGACTTATAAAGCTCGCTAAACCGTCTAAGATAGCCATTGCTGTGCAAGCGGGTTCTAACGGATAAACTTGGGCGTACCGCGAAAATACGTCTATAATTGTAAGAAATTTTACGTTACATATTTGAAAAGTATCCATATGGATGGATTCTAATGGTTCAGAAGGGGTCGGTGTCAACATAAACTTTAATTTTGGTGGATGTCTATCATATTTTGTTTGTTGGCACGTGTCACAATTATTAATATATTCAGTTAGGTCAGTTTTCATATTTGGCCAATAATAGAGCCTTTTTAATGCTATTAGGCTTTCATTAATTCCACGATGACAGGTTTTTTCATGATGATATGTAATTAGGTCTTTTTGTTTTGTCCTGTCAGTGATGTCAGTTAAAAGAGATTTCGATATTACCAATTTATAAGCACGGTTTTTAAATGTATTTGGTAACAAAACAGATAGTTCTCGATTTAAATCTATTTCGGTGTTTTGTACATAAAGGCAGTACATTTTTGTTGGATCCAAATAATCTAAAAAGAATTTAATTATTTCATTTTGATAGTTTTGACTTAAATAAACAGAAAATCTAGATTTATTTTGAAATGGGTAACTCCTAATCACGTGATAACGACCGTTTGTTTTTTGGTTAAATATTATTTGATTAGAATAAGTATTTAAACAATTTTCGGTAATTGGTATATTTAATATTGGATCTTCAGCTGCTGAGTGTACTGTCTCACCAGTATTAGGAATATTTGGCGGTTTAATTTGAATGTCCGAGATGATATTAATTTTTGGAGTGTTTACATTTTCTAGAGGGTTAAACACGTCTTCAATTTGTTCCAATTGTTCAAGGCTTATATTTTGATCTTCTTCATGTATGTATTTATCGATGTCTTCATTAATATCTCCAGTGACTCTTTATCTATCATATTTAGTTCAAAATTTTCTTTATGAAAGTCCGGAAAAGATAAAACATTTAGAGGTTGTGGGAAATTTAACGTTATATTTTTCTCAGTGTAATTAAAAACTTCTGTTTGCGCAAAACCGTTTTTTGCAGTAGTAAGTGTTTCTGGAAAATAGAGACCTTCAATGACTTGCTCGGGAATAATAACATCATTGTTTTGTGTTACTGGAATTCTTACGTTAACAATTTCGTGTGCATTCACAGTAATACAATATATTTCGTTTTGTGGTTGTCTAAATAAAATTGGTATATTAGTTGTATTATTCCTTAATTGTTTATTGACAATATCGATAGAAAAATTAAAACGTTTTAGGTCGTTTAATCCTATTATACCGTAAACAAATTTATGAAAGTCAAAAAGAATAAAAGATAGGTTGGTATTAGCCTTTAATTCTGGGAAAGCCGGAATATCTGCTTTAAATAGAGTTTCTTTTTCACCAGTTCCTGTTTTAATAATAGTTGGGGAATGATATATTTTTTCACAATAAAATTTTTCTGCAATGGAAGGTCGAAGAATCGAGTGAAAACAACCAGTATCAATTAAAAGTTTAATTGCGGGTTCTTTAATCTGGATGTACGGTAAACTATTATTAATTTGGGTATACATTTCTAATGTCATTTCGTTGAGTCGCATTGGCTCGTTATTGTAAAATTTTGAGAGATTTGATTTTCAATATCAGGGTGTTCGTCAAAATTTTGAGTGTCATTAAGGTATTCAATTTGATTTGATAATTCAATTTCAGAGTATTCCTCTTGGTGAATATTTTCATTTTGAAATACCGCAGATGTTTCATCTGTTTGTACCGCGTTACTTTCGTCGATTTGGTATAATTCTTGCGAAATAAAATTTCTAGGGCCAGTAGGTTTGAAATGGTTAATTTGATTATTTTGACGTGGTATAGTATAGTTTGTTCTTGTTGACATAGGTTCGGGTTTATTGTTAGGCACCTGACCTGTCGGTTTAAATACGTTTTTAGGTGGGCCAAAAACTTGCCTATTTGTAGGAAAATTTCTTGGAACTTCGCGTGGTTGAGGCATATTAATTGGACCTCTGGGAAAACTATTAGTCTGGGGAGTAAACTGATTTTGATCATGCCTAATTCTAAAATTTTGATTATGGTGATTATTGTTTTGAAAATAATTTGTAGGGCGAATCGGTTGTACATAATTAAAATTTTGGTTACTAAAATAATTTGGATTTTGTGAAAATTGTTTAACGGGTTCGATAGAAGTATTAGGCAAAACTTTTGATTGAATTGGAGTTCTGAAGATATTTTGTGTATATTGAAAATTTTCCTCTTCAATAATTTGGGTCATAGCTATTTCTATACAGCTCGGATTTTTAAGTCTTATAATACTTTGTAATTGTCCTGGTAATCCTCTAATAAACGTCCTTAAACAAATTTGATCGTATTGACGTAAATGAATTACTTTGCTTGCATTATCCATAGTATCGGCAGGAAATGAATTAATTTTTTGAGCAAGGATACTTCTTAAAACTTGTAATCTTTTCCCAAAATCTAAAGGATGTTCATTTTTAAAGGGGGTGGAAATAAACAAATCCTGTTCTAAACATTCTAAATTTCGTCTATCGCCCAAACAATTTAACAAAGCTCCTTTAATATTGTCCCACGTTACTAACTCCATTCTACAGCCTACTAGAATTTGTGCGCGATCAACAAGTTTCATTCTTGTAGTTCTTAACAAATATTGTTTTAAAATTTCGTCGTTTCCTTGGCCATATGTATCAAAAAGGAAATCTCCAGCTGATAGAAAACTATTTAAAGTGTTGGAATCACCATTATATGGCAGAATACTATCTATAAACATTTTTAACAAAGTGTAATTTACACCTGAATTCGACGATTGATTAGAATTCATTTTCAAATTGATTTGACTATTCTCTACTTTCTTTTCCACTAAATTTAACGAAGTAAAAAACGCACTTAAATTGTCGACGTCTTTATCCTCGTTCATAAATTTAATTGATTTTGAAATTTCTTAGAATTGAACTTAAAACTAAGAATCCTAAAATTATTTCCACCGTCCTAACCAGGGAAGATGAAAGGAGAACAATAGGAATTTTGGGCACCTACCTTGATTTCTCTTAGTCGTCAGCCTATTCTTCCTATTGGAATTTTCCTTTCGTAGCACTGCTTGCGGGGGTGATTTCTTGCCTTCCTTGCCCTCAGTCGAACTCAATCACGTTGGGTTTGTCAGACAGTCTATCACTGGTTCGTTTTGGAGTCTAAGGGTTGAAACCCATGTTTCGCGATCAAATCGTCCCGATGACGTGGCTTTGACCGAAAACTACCCCAAATCCTACCGACTGCGCCAGTTAAGGTTTTCGAACGAAGGATCTCGTTTTTAAAAAACACCTTTTTGTTTTACAAACAGAACTACGAGGTTTTATTTAACCCGTTACAAGGAGAACTAAACCCAAAGTACTAAGTGGTCATATATATAAAGTTTTTATGCAAGCGTCGCGTCGCAGATACTGGGAATACTGAAGCTAGCATTTCATCAGCATATTCTGTCACATAATTAACACGTTCGGTAAACTTTTTAAGTCGCTCGTTTATTAAACACTCGTGAGTCAAATGTCATTTACCGCACTTGTTCCATAATATACTATTTTTTATATACTGAAATACTGAATTTTTTATTAAATGTAATATAGAGGTACTAGTTTCCTCGGGATATTTTCAGATGTTTCAACTGATGAGTGTTATTTAATAGAATCATGTTCTGTGTCTTATTCAAAACATTTTAAATATATTAATAGCGGTGGGGAAGGGTGCTTATTGTTTGAAATCAATGCTATAAAATATTTCTTAATATACAGGCTAGCCGAAACTATAATGAACTTATTCATTAAAGTTTGGGCGTTGAAGTTACGAGGTCGGGTAATCTCTAGTCTCTTTTTCTGCAGTTTAAAGTGGTTGCAAAGGAATTCTTTTTCGTTAAAAAAAAATGAATATCCTCTATTCGATTGCCACCTCTTTTTGCAACGTAAAAGGTTCTTAAAATCGAAACTGAAAGACAGATTAGCTTCACAGTAAATGATATAAATTAGTTAATTTTTGAGCAGGATTAACAACTTTGAGATTGTCGTGCAAAAATAATTACGATAATTTCATATGGGTACACTGAATATCAAAAACTAGACACAAAGTGGAAAATACTTTTATTTTTGGTTAGTTAGTTAGTTGAGAATAATTAATAATATTATTCTAATAAAATACACAACACAAAAACGACCTAACAATATTTAGATACAATTATTCTTCAGTAATTTTCGAAAATGAAACAGACACTAATTTTGGGTCAACCAGTGAAAAACATCAACGGACAAATAACATTTACAATTACAGTTTGCTGATCCTATCGTTTCAATTCCAAACGGAGAATTGCAAGGTTTGCAACTACAATCACCAGAGCTGAATGAGTTTTATGCTTTCTTAGGGGTCCCATATGGACAACCGCCAATAGGAGATTTGCGTTTCGAGGTAAACGTCCATTTGTTTAACGACAGAGAATCACAGAAAATTCATTTGCAGAGTCCTCAACCAGCTCTCCCATGGAATGGAACACTTGACGCTACTCAGGAAAGAGATGGATGCCTTCCACTTAGCAATTACAGTTTTTATCCTAATCCGGGACCCAAAAGCGAAGACTGTTTATATCTAAATATATATACGCCGCAATTAAATGTAAGCAGTCCCAAAAACGTCGCATTATAATTTAACACTCGTCTACTTTTATAGCAATCCGCCAATTTGCCAGTCATGTTTTGGATTTTTGGCGGTGGATTCGTAGGTGGAAGCAAGGATTACAGATATTTCGGGCCGCAATTTCTCCTCGTAAATGACGTGATTGTAGTCACAATTAATCACAGACTAGGTCCTTTCGGGTTTTTATCTACCGCTGATAATGTCATATTGGGAAATATGGGTTTGAAAGATCAAAATCTTGCTCTTCAGTGGGTGCAGTCCAATATAAAATATTTCGGTGGCGATCCTCAGAAAGTAACGGTTTTCGGAGAAAGCTCCGGCGGACAATCTACAGGGCTTCACATTCTAAGCAAAAAATCTAGAGGTTAGTGTGATTAAGTAGCAACATCTTCTGTTAATATAATATAGATTATTGCCGGATCTACTAAGTAGAATTTTCACTCTCAATCATAGATAAAGGGAATTATCACAGATCTCTAATAAATTATTTTTTCTTCTCCCGTCTGTAAAATATCTTTTTTTTTACCGCACAGATTTGGAAGCAATCGGATGTTTTCGGAGATATTTCCCACGCCTTAATTTTGACGTTTGACAATCTTGACCGTCATGTCAGTGGTCAACGGTGGTAGAAAAAGTAAAGTATGCAATACGTTCGGTAAACTTCTTAAGTCACTCGTATATTAAACACTCGCTCCGCTCGTGTCAAGTAAACTTGTGAATCGAATGCCGTTTACCGCCCTTGTTGCATAATATACTATAATAATAATGAATTCCATCTATTATACAGTAATCCAAATTTTCTCGAGAGCACCACAAATCACTTCAAACAAGTCTGTTTATTTGTTCGTCTCTTACTTTTGCTTTTACAACTTTTTAAAAATAAAAACTCGACGATAGACTATTTTCAAATGACTTGAACTTCAACACCAAAATTGTTTACTCTAAAAGTTACGACGCCATTTAAATTAGTGAAATGGCAGTATTTTTGGAGCTGATTAGCGTAACCGTAAAACAATCATTATGATTTTTTAAAATGCAGAAATAAAATGGTAATAAGTAATTTCAATGTTGTCTTGTTCGCCATGGTATTATAGATATAAACAAAATATGGAAAGTCGGTGGCATTCTATTTATTGTTCCAAATGAAAGATTAATAACATCAATTACTTCAAAATAGTGTCTGTACACCGAAAAGCGCCTACACGAAAAATGTATTGTTGCGTACTGGGTAAAAAGGCTCATTTATATTCGAGCTCGTAGGCTAATTTGATATTTAGGCTATGAATTTTTTTAAGGGCTGTTCAGAGCTGCAATATGTCAAAGTGGTTGCTCGATCACTGATGGATTTCAACCCGACCCAAAGACTTATGCGTATGCGGTGGCTCAACAAATCGATGAAACCATAACTGAAAAAAACTCCTCTTTAGAATTAAAGAACTTTTTGTTGAAGCAACCCGCAGAAACCCTAGTAATAGCCGCAAAAGCAGTAGGCACTTCTGGTGTAAGTGATCGGATGTTTTTGAGTTCAATTTTCATTTCAAATTCTATTTCCCAGATTAGACCAGTTCTTGAAGTAGAAGACGATGAAGCTTTTTTGACACAACCGTTCTATGCACTTGTAGAGGCAGGAGATATAAATCCTGTCGCACTTATTGTTGGAGCTACGTCTGAAGAAGCTCTTGGTTTTATTGGTAGTATGAAATTTTGACAATCAATGTCACATATTTATAAATTTAATTTGTTTCTTTTTTAGATGAAGACCAACTTGCAGGCGTTGCCGAGGGTTATGACGAAGATTGGTCAACATTAGTTCCTAGACATTTAAGACCGATAGAAGGTTCAAATTTGACTGAGATAGGCGAACTTATAAAGAACACCTACGTTGGCGTAAACGGAACGTTCGCTGATGATCTTGTCGCAACCCTTGAAGTAAGTTGTATGTGTTACCGTACTATCATTTGGTTTAAATGCCACGTCATTTATTAAAGTCCTATATATACTTATCATTAATAGCTTAATAGGTGTACCTGGTTGTGGTTCGTTTTTTGAATGAAAACGAAGTAATGTCTAAATGAATAGTCCATCAAGTGATGGGAAAAAAGAGATCCTAGAAAGAGAACCGCAGCTCTGCTCTGATCTCTTAGAAGCTTGACGAAAGTCGAAATTACATTAGGATAACATGAAGCTACTTTAAAATGTCTGCTGACACCAACCAATGTCAGGAGTCAGTATTAAGAATAGTGTGATTATTACCTGCTGGCGTATTCTAACTCTTAGAATATAACCTTAAATCAGTAGTGTAGTAAAAACTTTTTTAAGACCCTAAACAATTTCAAAGCATGGAGTATAATGGAAATTAAGTTAGGAAAGATAAATGATAAAGTTAAGATAAAAGATAAGATCTAAATTATATTAGAATGAATATATTAATTAACTAGTATAAAGTTCAATATATTATGTAACAAGTTTGATAAATGTCACTTTAGTCACGAGTTTGATTTGGCAAGATTGAGCTTAATAAAAGAGTGTCCAAAAAACTTTATTAACGTTTTATATACTATACTGTTTCTACGATCATTAATTTTTGGGTATACTACTATGGCTAAAACCTACCTCTCTAATTGGGTAGTTAAGAGTAGGGAGAAAAAAAGACTTCCATATTTACCCCAAATTGAAAATTTGTAGTAGCCGAGAATATCGTTAAAAAATGGAAGTAATAATTAAATTGTTGATTATGTTGTTGAATATATCGGATGTCAACGCGATTATTGATCAAGGCGTCTCTTCTTTACTTCAGAGTAAATTATCTAAAATTTTGAATCTAAGCAAAACTTGACAGGATTGTAAAAAATGCCGTTCAAAAAAAATTTTGGCTTCTGAAGATTTCCAGAATTAGTACTCCATTTATTAACATGTAAGAAAAAGCATGTAAAATTGAAATACTAATAGTATACTAATAATAATAACAAAATAACATAAACATTAATTCAAAAACGATCAATAAATATTTAATATTTTTTTGAAAAATACAACAAAAACATTGAATCAATCTAACTCTTCAATAATTAAATAATATCTGTACAATATTATTTTATTTTTTAACATTAATTAAATCTGGGATCATCACGTCATACGTTGAACAAATTGTATAAAAGCTCTCTGGAAATAGTGTGCATCGTATAGTTCAAAATTTGTTTTTTCAGTTGGGGCAGTTTTTAAAAGTTTAATTGTCTATTATATGCCGAGTTGGGTTTTATGGTACCTTGCGGCACTTTTTAGGTTCATATATAAATATTCGAAAGCTCTTAAGTTAAAAACTAATAATAATTGATTGGTGAGATGTACGTACAACATTTTGTCAAAAATTCATGAACAAGGAACGACTTAGATTAAAATAAATAGTAACTTTTTAAAAATTCGCCGCAGCATTAACGCGATTTTATCTTTTTATAAACAGTTAATTCTAATTCTAATTCTAAAAATCAGTTTTTTAAAGAAAGATCTGAAGTCTTTGAAGCTATATTCAGTTTCCAATTTCCCCCCCCAAAAAAAAATAGCTCCATGCCTAACATTTAACATGTATATTTTTTTATAGCATTGAATTCTATATTAAATTGCATGTTCAACAATACATGACAACTATTGGGAATTTTCTAATGGATTAAGTTAGGTTCCGTTGATAAATTTCTTTAGTCACTAGTCACGCAAACTTGGAACTAAAGTTGTGACTTTCTATTTGTCCGCGTTCGCTCCTATGTCTACCGGAACGATAGTCCGGTGAATTCATTTATTATAGGTAAAACAGACATAACACGAAAATGTAATAAGTAATTCGTTGTGTCTCGGCATATTTATTCGTCATATCATCCTGTGGTAGGATGAACTTTAGAGTGTTCAAAGTGTCGACAAAATCTGTTTAGAATATATTTGTGTCTTGACGTGATTAAGGAAGATAGAAAGTATAAAGAGATATTTGGAACCGTAGGCAGTGACTGTGAATTGAGAATTTCAGCTGTCTTTTATATATCGCTTATCGGAATAAACTTGTAATAATATAATATACAGATCTATTTCTGGTACTATTTATTCCTGTACACTTCTATAAATTTGACTAGTCTGTCTGGAGACAGTTCATATCGACTGCAACTCCGCCAAGACTGTCATTAACTATTTATGATTTGTCTAAGTTTAAAATATATCCATTCTCGTCATACTGACGTCTAAACAAGGTTTCTGTGTGATATGAGGATATCCAAACGGCTTTTGGTGGCTCAAAAAGCTGTCAAATAATGTCATTCAATATTATTTTAAGGATCAATAATAGCATGGAATTTTTACCTACTTGACAGACAGAAAAAAATTGTTAATGTTATAGATTGTATTTTTTAAAACTAGTTTCGCCATATATTTTAAGTTTATTAACGCCTTGATCTTGATTAGTATTACTCAGATAACATAAATGTCAAAGCTGCTATAAAGATGGCTCAGCTACACTCAGCCTTCAACCCGGCTTATTTATTCCAATTTTCGTTTTACGGAAGTAAGGCCCAAGGACACTACAATATTGAGGGTATATTTTCAGTCAATTTAAGAAAACGTATTTTTTAATATTGCGTGTGCTCTTAGGAGGTGGAAAAGCGGGACATTTTGATGATGTACCGTATGTATTCAACATGACCACCTATCCATTGGTCACTGACGCGGATGATTTATGCAGGAAACAAATTAGTAGACTTTGGACTAATTTTGCCAAGACATTGTGAGTTACCACTAATTAGTATAAGGGCCGAATTAAATGAGTATTTTTCACAAATTGTAGAAATCCTACACCTGCGGGCGACGAACTCTTACAAAATGTAATCTGGAGCCCAGTAACCCCGGATAATATACAGTATTTGGATATAGACGATACCTTGGAAGTGAAACCTAATCGAAAAGTGAAAGAATACGCTACTTGGAATTACGTATATGATACGTACGCCACTAAACCTATAATAACATTTTGAATACCCATTCATTCCCAATTTAAATGTTATTGTTAAATATGAATAAAGAGTTTGAGTAACCGTTAGTTTACTGATCGTTGACAACTAAGCTATATAGAAAGTTCTTTGGTAGATTTTGTCACATTTAGTAATTTTGTTATAAATTGAATTTATTCACTAGTCATGTCGTTATCAAACTATTGATAGATAGCAATCAAATTTAAAATAACAAAAAATTTGCACACGACATGCAATATGATAACACCACTAAAATTAGACGCTTTAGTAATTATTATCTTTTGTTGTGTGCGGTAGCTGATTTTGGTTTGTCTTAAAGACGTTATTAATTAAAAAAACATCTGAGGTTCCTTCTAAAGCAAATTAGATTATTTACACAGATAAACGAATAGTTAACTATAATTTTATTATTATCATTATTATTAATTTTTCGCGTCATTAAATTAAAGGTTTAAATTTGGCTGTAAACTTAATTATGCGCGGATCAAACGTACTGACTTTAGGACGTCAGCTTGGTTACCCACGGTTGCAAGCAACTTCGGACATTTAAAGTACTTTAGTCATGGGCTTGGGAGCGACATGATGTTTTTGGTCGATTTTAGTTGATGGTGATTTTTAGTTTGATAATTGAACTCCACCTGCGACTGCTGGTGCGTGAATTGAGTACCTCATCAGTAGTCCCTGCCGGTCCCAAGCCCGGATAAAGGGGCGATAGGCCAGCTCCCTATCCCCCGGGAAAAAAACCATAGCTAAAAATTTCGACAATTTGCCTCGGAACCAAGACAGTATTAAACGACGACGAAAATTGCAAAGAAAAAGGACATCACGATTCGGTACATGGAATATATACGCACTAAATACGCAAAAGTCTTCCAAGAATTACAAAGGAAAGGAATGGATGTCTGTACCTTAACAGAAACAAAGAAAAAGGGTAAAGGAAACAAAATAGTAGGAGATTATATTCACGTCTGTCGGTTAAGGCATCTGACTGGAAATCAGATTCTCTATCAGCATAGGTTCGAAACCTACCTATTGCAAACGACCATTGTTTTGTTTGAAATATAATTTTCGTATATAGCAGCTTATCCCAGAAAATTTTGTCAATTACGGGGACTGAGTGCATAAATCTATAACAATGTAATGCCTTTATATTTCATATGGCACATCACCAGAATTAAGGCGTCTGTCTAGAAATCAGATTCTCTATTTCAGCGTAGGTTCGAAACCTACCTACTGCAAACGCCCATTGTTTTGCTGGAAATATAATGTTTGTACAAACAGACTTAGCCTTGATCTGTCGGTTAAGGCGTCTGACTAGAAATGAGATTCTCCATGGCAGCGTAGGTTCCAAACCTACCTACTGCAAATGGCCATTGTTTTGCTTGAAATATAAGTTTTGTAATTAGCAGCTCAGCCCAAAAAAATTGGTCAATTATGGGGATTGAGTGCATCAATTTACAACAATATAACGCCCTTATATTTCAAATGGCACATCACCAGAAATAGTTCTACTTTCAAACAGATTTAGCCCTGGTCTGTCGGTTAAGGCGTCTGACTAGAAATCAGATTCTCTATGGCAGCGTAGGTTCGAAACCTACCTACTGCAAACGGCCATTGTTTTGCTTGAAATACATATTTTTTAATTAACAGCTCAGCTCAGAAATTCTTCTCAAATATGGGGATTGAGTGCATTAATTTATAAAAATATAATGGCCTTATATTTCAAACGCATGCCACATCACCAGAAATTATGGGGATTGAGTGCATAAATTTATAACAATATAAATGCCCTTATTTTTCAAATGGCACATCACCAGAAATTGATCTACTTTCAAACAGATTTAGCCCTGGTCTGTCGGATAAATATAATGGCCTTATATTTCAAACGCATGCCACATCACCAGAAATAGTTCGACCTTCAAACAGATATAGCCTTGGTCTGTCGGTTAAGGCATCTGACTGGAAATCAGATTCTCTATCAGCATAGGTTCGAAAGCTACCTATTGCAAACGACCATTGTTTTGCTTGAAATATAATGTTTGTAAATAGCAGCTTATCCCAGAAAATTTTGTCAATTACGGGGATTGAGTGCATAAATCTATAACAATGTAATGCCCTTATATTTCGTATGGCACATCACCAGAAATAGTTCTACTTTCAAACAGATTTAGCCCTGGTCTGTCGGTTGAGGCGTCTGACTAGAAATCAGATTCACCATGGCAGCGTAGGTTCGAAACCTACCTGCTGCAAACGACCATTGTTTTGCTTGAAATATAATTTTTGTAATTGGCAGCTCAGCCAAGAAAATTTTGTCAATTATGGGGATTGAGTGCACAAATTTATAACAATATAATGCCCTTATATTTCAAATGTCACATCACCAGAAATAGTTCGACTTTCAAACAGATTTAGCCTTTGTCTGTCGGTTAAGGCGTCTGTCTAGAAATCAGATTCCCTATGGCAGCGTACGTTCGAAATCTACCTACTGCAAACGACCATTGTTTTGCTTGAAATATAATTTTTGTAATTAGCAGCTCAGCCCAAAAAATTTGGTCAATTATGGGGATTGAGTGCATAAATTTATAACAATATAATGTTCTTATATTTCAAATGGCACATCACCAGAAATAGTTCGACTTTCAAACAGATTAAGCCTTGGTCTGTCGGTTAAGGCGTCTGTCTAGAAATCAGATTCTCTATGGCAGCGTAGGTTCGAAACCTACCTACTGCAAACGACCATTGTTTTGCTTGAAATATAATGTCTGTACAAACAGACTTAGCCTTGATCTGTCGGTTAAGGCGTCTGCCTAAAAATCAGATTCTCTATGGCATCGTAGGTTCGAAACCTACTTACTGCAAACGGCCATTGTTTTGCTTGAAATATATATTTTTTAATTAACAGCTCAGCTCAGAAATTCTTCTCAAATATGGGGATTGAGTGCTTAAATTTATAAAAATATAATGGCCTTATATATCAAACGCATGCCACATCACCAGAAATAGTTCGACTTTCAAACAGATAGAGCCTTGGTCTGTCGGTTAACGCATCTGACTGGAAATCAGATTCTCTATCAGCATAGGTTCGAAACCTACCTATCGAAAACGACCATTGTTTTGTTTGAAATATAATTTTCGTAAATAGCAGCTTATCCCAGAAAATTTTGTCAATTACGGGGACTGACTGCAAAAATCTATAACAATGTAATGCCCTTATATTTCATATGGCACATCACCAGAAATAGTTCTACTTTCAAACAGATTTAGCCCTGGTCTGTCGGTTAAGGCGTCTGACTAGAAATCAGATTCTCTATGGCAGCGTAGGTTCGAAACCTACCTACTGCAAACGGCCATGGCTCAGCTCAGAAATTCTTCTCAAATATGGGGATTGAGTGCATAAATTTATAAAAATATAATTGCCTTATATTTCAAACGCATGCCACATCACCAGAAATAGTTCGACTTTCAAACAGATATAGCCTTGGTCTGTCGGTTAAGGCATCTGACTGGAAATCAGATTCTCTATCATCATAGGTTCGAAACCTACCTATTGCAAACGACCATTGTTTTGTTTGAAATATAATTTTCGTAAATAGCAGCTTATCCCAGAAAATTTTGTCAATTACGGGGACTGAGTGCATAAATCTATAACAATATAGTGCCCTTATATTTCATATGGCACATCACCAGAAATAGTTCTACTTTCAAACAGATTTAGCCCTGGTCTGTCGGTTGAGGCGTTTGACTAGAAATCAGATTCTCCATGGCAGCGTAGGTTCGAAACCTACCTGCTGCAAACGACCATTGTTTTGCTTGAAATATAATTTTTGTAATTAGCAGCTCAGTCAAGAAAATTTTGTCAATTATGGGGATTCGGTGCATAAATTTATAACAATGCAATGCCCTTATATTTCAAATGGCACATCACCAGAAATAGTCCTACTTTCAAACAGATTTAGCCCTGGTCTGTCGGATAAGGCGTCTGACTGGAAATCAGATTCTCAATGGCAGCGTAGGTTCGAAACCTACCTACTGCAAGCGGAAATTATTTTGCTTGAAATATGTATTTTTTAATTAACAGCTCAGCCCAAAAATTTTTCTAAAATATGGGGATTGGTTACATAAATTTATTAAAATAAATTGGCCTTATATTTCAACGCATGACACATCACCAGAAATAGTTCGACTTTCAAACAGATTTAGCTTTGGTCTGTCGGTTAAGGCGTCTGACTAGAAATCAGATTCTCCATGGCAGCGTAGGTTTGAAACCTCGCTACTGCAAACGCCCATTGTTTTGCTTGAAATATATATTTTTTAATTAACAGCTCAGCCCCGAAATTTTTCTCAAATATGTGAATTGAATACATAAATTTATAAAAATAAAATGGCCTTATATTTCAACGCATGGCACATTACCAGAAATAGTTCGACTTCCAAACAGATTTAGCCCTGGTCTGTCGGTTAAGGCGTCTGATTAGATATCAGGTTCTCCATGGCAACGTAGGTTCGAAACCTACCTGCTGCAAACGACCACTGTTTTGCTTGAAATATAATTTTTGTAATTAGCAGCTCAGCCAAGAAAATTTTGTCAATTATGTGGATTGAGTGCATAAATTTATAACAATATAATGCCCTTATATTTCAAATGGCACATCACCAGAAATAGTTCGACTTTCAAACAGATTTAGCCTTGGTCTGTCGGTTAAGGCGTCTGTCTAGAAATCAGATTCTCCATTGCAGCGTAGTTTCGAAAAATACCTACTGCAAACGGCCATTATTTTGCTAGAAATATATATTTTTTAATTAACAGCTCAGACCAGAAATTTTTCTCAAATATGGTGATTGAGTACATAAATTTATAAAAATAGAATATGCTTATATTTCAACGCATTGGCACATCACCAGAAATAGTTCGACTCTTAAACAGATTTAGCCTTGGTCTGTCGGTTAAGGCGTCTCACTAGAAATCAGATTCTCTATCAGCATAGGTTCGAAACCTACCTACTGCAAACGACCATTTGTTTTGTTTGAAATGTAATGTTTGTAAATAGAAGCTTAGCCC